ACTGCGGAAGACGTTTAGAGAGCGAATAATAGACGGATGCGACCAACGCTTCCATTCTTTGTACTGATATCTCTGCCGACATGTCTTGAAAGCTATGCAAACCATTGTCACGAATGGATTCAATGGCGTTCCAGAGGTCTATATAATGGACTGCGATTTGCGGGCAAAACATGTCATTTGTGTCACATATAGTGTCTGAATGTGTTAATCACTTACAGTTGGTCTTGTGTTGAATGAACCGTAACTTCGATGCAGTTCTGTATGAACTGAAACGAATCACTTGGAAGTCGTGCTCCGCTGAAGACATACATTAAGACATTGATTACAGGTCTCAACACTTGGTCCGGCTTTCGGTACAACAATCTCTCAAAACTTACTCATTTCGGTCACCATTTGGTCATATTTTTCAGATAAATAATGCATTTCTTGTTTTTCCTTTCGTGGCATCACTTCTTCAGATAGTTATCGAGACATTGCGTCCACTGATTGGCCACTAATTCATTGATTTTGATCTTCAAATCAATTAATGATAACAAAAAAGTCTTAATTTAATTGTCTATGTTTTGAGCCAAATATGGCAACAGATGCGCACATCTCTACACACTTACGGCACTTATGGGTTGTCCACACCTCTAGTCGTATAACACTTTTTTGTGGTAAATATTTTGATTGATAAACAAATTGTTGTGATTTTGAAGTGAATTATAGATTGAATTGAATGTGGATTTAGTAATAATCTGAAGATATGTTGGCGCGAGTGGTCGGACGGTATCAGAAATGTAAGTCATTGTAATGTGTAATGCATTGATTGATGTGTTGTATTGGCACAGATGTGGCAGTGATTAAACAGGGTTGGGATGAAGTGCCCACTCTCTTCTTCTCGGTGGGCATCGGAGTGGTTGCGGGCGTTTGTATGGTCTATCGGGTCGCTCACACCCCTCCCGGCGGACACATCACACGATTCAAAGAGCGATATATGGGTGAGTCTTAGCACACCATTCGTCACATGTATTCATATTTGTCTTTAATTGTGGATCAAGTGATGCGTCCCAACGACGACCGGCTTATTGGGTATCCCAAGGAATATGTCACCGATAGAGAGCTTCTCAAGTAGTTCTCGAGTTATGTATAGATATATTAAATAAAGTAATCGTAGGAATCAAATAAAGACATGTTTTAATTATCAGTAATATATAGACTCTTTAAATGCAAACATCGATTAAATATAATAAAAATTATAAATTAAATAAATTAAAATATCGGGAGAACAATGACTTCAATACATTGGATAAGAAACGGACGATATATTAAAACTTAAATTAATTTAAAATGTATTAAAAGTCGAGACTTAGATCGACTCATGACTGGAATGTGAACAATAATACTGTAATACAAATACCGGTAATTTAAATGCATTCATAATTTTGTGCTCATTTGGAAAGTTTGGTTGAGTTAAGGAATGTTACGAAAATGCCATCAAATATGTGTCCAAACAATTGTCTACTTTTCTCTTAAACAGATCTCGAGATTTGATCGAAAAGTTTATAGTTTTTGTATTTCAAAGAGCTTGACATTAGTGTCGTACCAAATGGGAGGCTCAATGTTCCGCAGGTATACCACTCCCCACATGTATGTGCGGAACCAAAGTGTGGTCCCGGCGTTAGTCTGATATTTCCTGATTAGTATGGGATGCGGAACCGGTAGGAGTCCCACAAGTGTTCCGTGTTGTAAGAATTTGAGGATCTCGTTCTCGTCAGTGATTCCTTTGTCAATACACATCTTCTCCACTTGTGGTACCAGAACCTGATGGACAATACAGTATATCATAACATGTTAGACATTAATAAGGGTTTGATAGGCTTATTGTCACACCTGAAGCATACGCATAATTGTCTGCAACGGAAGCTTCTGTTTCCATGAGTTGATCCATTCAGATGATGGGCTCCATTGAGTAGTTCTCATGGATGTGTTGGACGACTCACTCGATTGGCGACTCAATAGGGTTTGACTAGAAATTGGTTCAGAGGAAACACTGGGAATGTCTTCGTCGGGAATACTTTTAGGATTTGGATGTGTTTTTTCAGTCATTTTATCAATCCTTGGCGTTGCGGCTAAAGAAACATTGAGTGCACTCTCGCTTTGATCTGCAGCTGTCGTTGCAATCATTTCTTGCTTTTCTAAAGGACTGGTCGGAGGGGTTGTAGTCGTCGGAGAAGTCG